AATATGCACACTATAAACTGCTGAAGACGGAAGGGAATCTCACGGTAGCAACGGATGGAGAACATAATCTTGATAGTAGATCGCCGCCGACAAAATACCTGAGCTCATAGTTCAACCATAGCCGTGTCAGAAAGTCACTCACCAGCCATAGCAAACCCTGCCAGGCCACACTGCCTCCTTTGAATGTGCCCATACAGCTGATCATGAACCGCGACCATTCTATCATAATCATCGCTGCTAATCCCACCAGCCTTCGACAACGCGGTGCACAGACTGAAAAACCAAGGGCAATACCCAGTAGCCTAGCGGAGCTTCATAACAAGCCCATTCACGAGTGTTAAGTGGGGGCACCGGGGATCAAAAGGAAATGCGACTCGGAACTCGCGAAACTTTGCAATGCTAGCAAGTCACATTAGATACGACGAAACTGGAAAGGCAACTCTCACCATAGCCCTTCGCGGGATTCCCTCACTCTCTTTTCCAAGGACTCCACCAAGTCGTGGTACCTTGGCGACTCAAGCTGAGGCTTCAGAGATCGTTGTCCTGAATTCAAAAGCTGCTGTGAACTTTCAATCGATGGACTACCTTGCATCTTGCTGACCATTTGCTTGTACACGCTACTACTCGATGTGAAGTCCCTGGATACTACCGATGCCAGATCAACTGTGAGCTTAGATCGCTGGTCGACATCTGTGTGAAAGAGATTAAATTCTGACGAGAGTCTCCCTTCTGAGTTTCTACACCGAACCAAGTTATAAGAAGGAAGAATAAGTTCGACTCCACAAATCGCCTTCACCTCGAAAATTACGGGACGAACTATACCAGCAGCATTTTCGAGAGTTCTATCATCAGCATTGGTATATTTGTTCGGTTTCCTCACTAGATTATGAGAATTGGCACATGACTTCGGTGCAATCTTATACAAAATAACAGGAGTTTCTCTACTCAGATGCTAGCTCATTTAGCCCCTCTTTTTAGTACTACCAAAACGACCATCGTTCTTCCAGTGATCCCAATTGTCTAGGCCCTTTTTCACTAGCTCATCGCGCTCGGCATCAGAGAGTAGATGATCCATAGACGATAACGATTCCAGGTAGATGGCCAAGTCGTCCAAGGCCAAGTTAGATAGAGTCTAATACAGCGGAAAATGTGAATGACAGTTGACCCTCGACCTACTTCTTGTACGAACTTGCGATCGCTTCCATCGCGATGAACTCTTTTCGCCGCCTTGAGTAACAATCGACTTCGAAAATCAGGAGTCATCAATCCAGGCAAACGTTGGTCTACATCTACAACCATCCTGAAATCAAATTGGATTATCCCCGTACACATGCACACCCATATGTGATGGGGGGGACCTCTCATCGAGTTGGCGCACACATAAACGTGGCTCCACTACTACCTTGTCCAGCCTTTTAGTACAGAGTCGAGGTTGTCAATAATATAGGAAGCTGCAAAACCACCGGAGAGTCCGAACGCGATGTTTCGGACCACTGCTCGGCGACGAAGTAGAGTAGGAGCACTCATTCAGACAAAGTTGAAAACTAATCTGCATGCGAGACCTAGCGAGACAGAGAAACACGTTACGTCTCGCGCGTCCCGGGATGCAATTCGAGGTCCGT